CAATTCCACAGCTTCTTTTCTTTTTTTTTTTTTTTTTACACATATTGTTATAAGCTTTTAAGATTAGATAGATTTCGTTGGTAAATCATTCGTTTCAAATAATTTGATTCAAATTAATTTCAATATTTTTTTATTTCAAAGTTTCAATTCATTTAGAATTTTGAACACGAGTGTCACCTTTTAAATCAACACGAACTTTCGAGATCACAAAAATACGAATTACAACGTTTCATTGATCAAAATTCCCATCTCCTACGTTCACCAAATTCACAAGGTATAATATGCATAGTTTTGAATTTCCAATTTTCAAAATAAATTAAATATCACGAAAATGCAAATTTAATTTTAGTAAATTTTGATTAACAGTTTCTCTTTTTTAAAATTCTACTGCTATTTTATTAAAATTTGTGTCCTAAAATTATTATTAGTTTTTTTTAAAATTTATTATTACTTTTTCTTAGTTATACAAACAATAACAGATACCGTAACCGTATTCTCTTTTTTTTTCAAGTAATTTTCAAAAATTTCATCCATTTTTTTATTTTATCAAAAAAATTAACTTTAAATGAAAAAAAAATCGCAAAATTGTAAAGTAATCGCTTTAAATTATCTTTCATTTGCTAAATTTTTATTTAAACGGTAAAGCCATTTTTTTTGCTACATAATAATTGGTTTGATTTTAATGAAAAAATAAATTTTGTACTAATTAATTATTATAATATTATAATTATAAATTTTTTAACAAATATTCTTATAGTTGCACTGTTTGTGACATACTGATGACAATAATCATCAATTAAATTAATTTAATTAATATTAATGTGAAAAATTTTTGTATCGATTATGTAAAAATAAAAAATCTAAAATTCAAGTAATAAGATATTAAATGTTAATAGTTATTGATAAAACGGATAAGAGATTAAAATTTTGTTAAATTATGAATGAAAAATAATTGTAAGTAAAAATTTTTTGTTATTTTTTTTAATTCTTTCTTTTTTTTTTTTTTCTTTTGCAACAGGAACAGGTGACTCATCAATTTGGGAGAAAGATAAAGGAGGTGATCAATTCAATTCGTATCAGCGAAACTACGGAACTTTATCCATATCTCCTTCTAACAGAGGGTAAGAAGATTGATGTGTAATTTTGTTTATCGCTTAAGCATCAAACTTCACATTTCTTCAACTTATCATTCGATATGTAAAATATTGATCATTGCTATTCATTAGATATCAAATATTTCAATTTTATTAATTTATAAATTTCAAAATTAATTTTAATATAAATTTTTGAATTATTTTTATTGTAATATTTTTAATTTTTGCTTTATCCTTTTTTTTTTGCAATTTTCATTTTCTTTTTTTTTTTTTTAAACAATTAAATGAATTTCATGTAAAATATAGAGCAATTATTGATGATAAATATTTTTGTATGACATAGATTTTTCTAGAAATTATCAGTTAACAATGATTGTATATATATATGTTGTGATAAGATTTAATGTACCTCCTTTTTTTTTTTTTTCCAAACATTTTTATAGTAGTAGAAAAGAAGTGAAGTGGTCAGACGACGTATATCAATCGGCTGGAACAATCCATCATCACGCATCTTCATTATCACCAAACTGGTCTGCACCAAGCAATCATTTGAAAAAATCGAGCAGTTTCGACGATTTTTATAATTTGTATAATAATTATAAGAACGATAGTAACAGTCTTACTAACACAATGTCATCTTCTTATGGGAATACTGGATATATAAATCGTGGTCGTGATAATCAATTCCCGGCATACAATCAATTCCCAACAAATAATTATCAGGCATACGGAAAGCATCCGGTATATTTATTATTCTTTTTGAAATTTGAATATTTTTTTTATTCATTTAAATTTTTTTTTTTGTTTTGTTATCAAATATTTATCAATTAAATTTATTAACAGTTGAAATTATTTGAAATTAAGGATATTGTAACTGATTAAAACTACAATATTAGGAAACTAAAATTACAGGATGATTATAATCGGTATGAAACAGCACGTTCTCGAAGTCATACATCACAACGACAACGAGAAGAAGATGAAAGGAGTCGATTTTCGGGATATGGTGATCGACCAGGTTCTGGGGTTGAATTTATGCCAACAAAATGGCATGGTGGTGAGGTAGATCTATATCTAAGATTACCATTTAAAGACTTTTAGTTTTAGTTTTACCCGTTTTGTAACACTATAAAATAATCTTATATTATTGAATTGTTTTTTTTTTTTTTCTTTAGATTATTACCGATCCGGGACATTTGCCTCGCTCATTGAAGCCACGTCGTTTGTATTATTCACCGATTGGTGATGGTGTTGTCGCTGCGGATGGTGTTGAATTGAAACGAGCTCCGAAAGATTTGTCACCTAAAATAACGGTGACACATAGCAGAACCGTTGACAGAGGTGAACCTGGCCATGATGGTTACAATATCTATACACGGACAATGACTCATGGTATCTTTTATCTTTATAATATCATAAATTTAAATAACAAGTTGCTAATTTCTTCAAATGTATGTGCTAACGTGCTAATTTCATTAATTTCACTCTCATTTTTATAATTAGCATTTTTCCGAATTAATATTATTCATATTACTATGTTTTCTTTCTTATCTATTTTCTAATTATTTGATTAGTATTTAACTAAAATGGATAAGTTTAGAATTAGGGAATGATTATGGGAGTGATATGGGTGGAAGTGGACGTGATTCACGACTCACAGGCGGCATATCACCAGGTTTTCTTTTTGTTTTCGTCTTAAAATTTAATTTGAAGTTCATATTCGATATAAAATTTTGGGATAAAAATTATATTTGGTATCAGCACGTTTTTTTTTTCTTACCGTTATTTGTTAAAGCTAATCATTATTTCTGGCTTCTAAGAGAAATCAGAAAAAAAAGAAAAAAAATAAAATAGCTCTGATCAGATTCTGGGACAAAAATTAAAGTTAAATAGAAATAGAACTGGAATGAGTTATAGGTAGTGATTCGTTTGGACAACAAAGTGGTGTTAGTCCAGGTATGAGTTATGGTGGACGAGATTCGGATTACAAAGGAGGAGGAATAGGAGAACGAAGACCAGGAAGTGGTACTGGTTATGGTTCTAGTAGTGGTGGAGGTAATACACCATTCGGTCATGGAAAAGATTATTTAAGTGATGCTGGATCTGGTGATATTGGTTATCCATGCGGTCGAGGTAGTTACATTGACAATTTTGAAATTTCCATTTAAATTTTTAAATTCTACCACATTTTTCAGCAATATTACAATTGTGTATGCAGTGTTTCAAGAACTTTTTCCTTTTTTTTGGTTTTTTAGTTTTTTTTTTTTTTTTTTTTTTTTTTTTTTGGCACATTGTAGAAATGGCACATTTTTGTTGAATTGTTAAATTAGTATAGAAAGCACCAGAGGACGAGATACTGGTAAAGGTTATGAGATCGAATCATCCAAACAAGCTGTAGATGGATATGGTACAGGAATACGTGGTGTTGATAGTTATGGTGTTGGATCACGAGGTATAGATCTTCATGGTACCGGATCATCAAATTATCGCTATCATTCACCAACTACAACTTATCAACATTCACCAGCTTATCATAATTCACATAGTACACTTGGTTTCAAACAATCTGATCCATTTATGAGTGAATCTAGAGGTTTGCATTTAGAAATTTTATAGCATGAAAAAAAAAAAAAAAAAGGTAACGTACATTATATGAGTTTAATCTATCCTGAAAATTCAAAAGTGTTTTAAATTTATTTTTGTTTAATTTTAAAATTTCAAGAAAATTCCCAATGAAAATTATTATCGTTTCTTTATCTAATCTTTTTAATTCAAATAAACAAAAGACTGAATTAAAATTTATTTAAAAAGATGACAAGATTTATGCCAATTTCCATATCAAATATTTTCATTTTGCTATAGAATAAATTTGAATGAATAAAATTTTGCATGCATTAAAATTCTAACATAACGGATTCGATGATTTTTTGGATCATCATTAGTAAAGTAATTATTTAGACGTAATTTTTGTTGCAATTTGTGGAACGCATTTACAGTACTAGTAAGTTGTGTTATGCATTTTATTCATTGATCTTTTCTTTTTTTCTGCTTTTTTCCTGAATTTGTATAGTTTGTGAATTAGTAATTTGACACGAATGGATTGAGACTTTCTGTTTGTTTATTTGTTTGTTTGTTTTTTTTTTTTGTTGAATATTTGGTCAGTTAAAGGTCGTTCCCAGAGCGTTGACCTATTAAACGGACAGGACAATTATGGTGATTACGGATTTAAGAATGATGATCGCTCAAGTGGTATGTTGATCCGGACAAAATATATCATTCGTTCCTTTTTTTTAAATTGAAAGGTAAGCGATATATTGCAAAACTTGCAATATATTTCTTTTGTATTGTTTTTTGTAAACGCAAGTTTGTCATAGATAAATAGGTTATAAATTTACAGAGCCATCCGCATTGCATGAATCAGTGAAATCCGAACGATACCATAAATTTGATGTAACCAAAGATTACTTGATAACGAATCCACGTGAACTAATCCATCAATATGCAACCACAACTCCAGTTTCTATACTAGAAATACCTGAAACATCATCACGTACAGTCAAGAAAATGTATTCATCAACAACCGAAGAAAAGTAAAACTTTAGAAATTTTGTCGCGAAATTATTTTTTTTTTTTTTTTTGTTTTTGAGAATAAAATTTGAAAACTTTTGTGAACTTCTACATGCTTGATGGTCTTGATTGGAAATTTATGAAAGTTTAAAAGATTTCAAGATACAACAAAGCATATGTTCCGGAAACTTATAGGTGAATGAATTGAGATGACAGTGTCACATATTTGAATAAGGCATGAAATAACTATCAAGATCCTAAGTAATTAGGAAACTGAAAATAATAATCTTTCCAGTTTACATCCTAAGCTTCTTCCAAATGACTTATTTGTCAAATTGAGATGATTAGTTGTTTCTAATAAGTAGTCCTGATATTAACTGATTATCGATAAAATCGAATAGCAAAATTATGATTTCTAAACTTTACATCTAAAATGTTGAAAATAATGTGATTTCTAGATATGCACCGTATCCACCATACAAAGGTTCTAATGCTGTTGTTCATCCAAATAATTTCGTTCGCCAATTAAGAGATGAAGGTAAATTTTTAAAATTTGTTAACTTTTTTCATCATTTTTAACTCATTTTTAAAACTAAGAAATTGCCATCTTTTTGTCACAAAAAGGAAAGCAAATTATTAATTCAAAATGAATTTTTTTAAAAAAAAAAAGGAAAAAATGAGTTGCATTCATATAAGTTAAATATTACAATAATTATCAATTAACTAATTTCACAAGCTTTAAGGATATCAATTTTTTTTTTTGTTAAAGCCAAAATTTTATAGGATTAACCGTATCACAACGTGAAGCAAACAGGCATCAAAATCCTCTGACGACCGATGATCCGGAAATTACGCATAAAATTTCGGAAATACGTAAGGAAACAAGTCGAATAGCGCCAATAAACAAAGAGATTGACCATCTAACTGAAAAGATGATGTATAATTTACAGAGCGGGCAACAAACATCACTGCATTATTAAATTATTCATTAAAATTTAAATAAGCTTAACTTTAACCTTCATATTATGCACCATCAAGATGTATTACAAAACATGTGAACATACTAATATTAGAAAATCTATTCTAAGATTATTATTATTATTTATTTTCATTTTTATTTTATTTTTTCTTTTCGTTTTTTTTTCTTTTTTTGTGGGAAAATGTTTAAAATAAATTTCTGAAAATAAAATAAGTGAAAATAATGATGTTGTTGAAAAGAACGAAGCATTTATTTGTGGTATGACAATTAAAAATATGTGCATTAAATTTTTTTTTAAAGTTTTCGGAAAACTTTCTGTTTTCTGTTTCTGATGGATGCATAATTATTCTGGGCTTGTTCTTTTTTCTTTCTTTCTTTTTTTTTCTTTTTTGATTTTCACTAAAAAAATGAGCATACAAGCAAAAATTTCTGAATTTTTTTTTTAAAGAAAAATCAAAATTTGCATAAATTTCAAAAAATTTATACAACTTTTTAAGTAATTCATATTTTCATGTGGTTTTTTTCTTTTCTTCTAATGTAATATTATTTATTTATTTCTTTTTTAAATATTTTAAATGATATTTTCCATGACCTTTTTTTTGCATCTAATTATCAGAGAAAGGAATGAATGAATTAATTCAAAACAATCTTTCCTTTTTAATTCTTTTTTTTTGAAAAAAAAAAAACAAAAGTTGAATTTGAATTATACTTTCACATGCAATAATCGGTTGATTTGTAAAAGTCACTTTGATCAATGAAAAATTTCTTTTATTCTTACGATACTACTGTAAGGTTAAATATTGCAGTGTGCAAATAAAAAATTTGGCTCATTATATTGCTTTTTCGCTTGAACCTATGCATCTTCAATTAATTAATTAATTAATTACTCAATAATGGATAAAAATTCTAAAAGTTTCAGGTTAAACTGCGAGATGGATATTTTATATTACTTCTTTTTCTTTTTCCTTTTCCTTTTTTTTTTTTTTTATTTTTTT